AATTGAAAAGAAGGAGTCTAAGCCGCGCCTGATTCGTTAGGTGCTGCTGTTACAAGAATTCGACCTTGAAATTCATGACCGTAAGGGCACAGAAAATCAAGTCGCTGATCATCTATCACGACTTGAAGGAGCTGAAAAATCAATCGAGGTCGAAGAGATCCTGGAAACTTTTCCAGACGAGCAGCTTCTCGCTACTAATCTTGAGGAAGCGCCATGGTATGCAGACTTTGCTAATTACTTAGCCAGTGGTATAGTTCCTCATGACCTTTCATCTGCCCAAAGAAAGAAATTTTATCGTGATAGCCGCATGTATTATTGGGATGAGCCTTATCAGTTTAGAATATGTGTTGACAATATGATCCGGAGGTGTGTCCCCGAGATAGAACAATCTTCTATTTTGCAGGCTTGTCATGCATCGGCATATGGAGGACATTTTGGAGGGGTCAGGACAGCTGCGAAAGTGCTTGAGGCCGGATTCTTTTGGCCAACAGTGTTTAGAGACGCACACCTATGGGTGAAGGGCTGCAATGAATGTCAGAGGACTAAAAACATTTCCCGTCGCCACGAGATGCCCATGAACCCGATTCAAGAGGTGGAAGTGTTTGATGTCTGGGGGATTGACTTCATGGGTCCCTTCGTCAGCTCCTTTGGAAATAAATACATACTGGTTGCTGTGGATTACATGTCCAAGTGGGTAGAAGCTACTGCGCTACCCACTAATGATGCAAGAGTAGTGGTGGGATTTTTGAAAAAGAACATAGCACCCGATTTGGGACACCACGAGCAATTATCAGTGACGGGGGCACTCACTTCTGTAATAGAGCCTTCGAAAAGTTGCTTGCAAAGTATGATGTACGCCACTAGGTGGCTACTCCGTATCACCCGCAAACTAGTGGGCAAGTGGAAGTGTCCAACAGAGAGATCAAGAGTGTGTTAACCAAGACGGTGAACGCCACAAGAACTGATTGGGCGAGAAAGCTAGATGATGCACTCTGGGCCTACAGGACTGCGTTTAAAACACCAATTGGTATGTCACCATATAAATTGGAATTTGGAAAGGCCTGTCACCTGCCAGTGGAACTTGAACATAAAACGTGGTGGGCATTGAAGCAGTTGAACTTAGATATTGAAGTTGCAGGGACAAGTACAATCACTGAGTTGCATGAGCTTGACGAGTTCAGACATCTTGCTTTTGAGAGCACAAGATTGTACAAGGAAAGAATGAAGAGGTTGCACGACCAGAACATTGTTGAGCGACATTTCAAACCTGGGGACATGGTATTGCTCTATAACTCAAGATTGCGGTTGTTCCCTGGTAAGCTTAAGTCAAGATGGTCTGGTCCATTTCGAGTGGTTGAAGTATTCCCTTCAGGTGCAGTAGAGATCGCCGCCGAGAAAGACTCTCGTACATTTAGAGTCAATGGCCAGAGATTAAAACTATATGTGGGCATGAACGAACCAAAGGAAGGGTCTGAGATCCACCTGACTGAACCTCAGAGGTCGAGCGAGCCTTAAATGCGCTCACTTGCGTCGTGCCACGACGTTAAATCAGGTGCTGCATGGGAGGCAACCCACGAATGTGTTGTAAATGCAATTTGTAATATCATAAAAAAAAAGAGGTTGAGCAAATCTTGCGCTCGTGCTGCGACGTTAAATTAGGCGCTTCATGGGAGGCAACCCACACTAGTAGAATTTCTAACATGTTGTATATATGCAGGTTAGTGTGGAGGATGTTGCATCACGAGCCTGGACATATCATGGGTAAGGTAGGCATTAAAAGAGGTAAAAATAGTGCCTAAGGGGCAAAACAATGAACAGAACCCCAACAATAGGCAGCCAGTAACAGGTCCACCGCGGTCGATGCGCTCACTTGCGTCGTGCCGCGACGTTAAATCAGGCGCTGCGAGGGAGGCAACCCACGAATGTGTTGTAAATGAAATTTGTAATATCATAAAAAAAAGAGAGAGAGGTTGAGCGAATCTTGCGCTCGTGTTGCGTCGTGCCGCGACGTTAAATCAGGCGTTTCATGGGAGGCAACTCACGCTAGTAGAATTTCTAACATGCTGTATATATGCAGGTTAGTGTGGAGGGCGTTGCATCACAAGCCTGGACATATCATGGGTAAGGTAGGCATTAAAAGAGGTAAAAATAGTGCCTAAGGGGCAAAATAATGAACAGAACCCCAACAATAGGCAGCCAGTAACGGGTCCACCGCGGTAGGACCGCGGTCGTGACCCCTCTCTGAAGTTATCCCACCGTGGTCGCGACGTAACCGCTGTGGGACCGCGATCGTGACCCCTCTCTGAAGTTATCCCACCGCGGTCGCAGCGTAACCGCGGTAGGACCGCGGTCGTGACCCCTCTCTGAAGTTATCCCACCGCGGTCACGGCGTAACCGCGGCAGGACCGCAGTGGACCAGAACGAGCCCAGGTATGAAAACGCAGAAATTTTTTTTTTTTTTCTTTTTCTCCCTTTCATTAATCTAACCTAAACTAACCGTCCCCAACCAAAACCTCCGCCCCCCTTTTCCCCATTCTCTCGAAGTTCTCTCAACCCTCTTCTTCTTCTTCCTCCCGAACTCTCAATTCCTCCATTCCTATTCTTCTTCTTCTTCCCAAATTCTCTCTTCTTCTCCATTTTTCCCCCTTCGTCTTCTTCTTCTCACCAAAACCTACTCTCTCTTCTTTCTTCTTCTTCCCATAACCCAAAAACGCCCCACCCCCTTACCCAGCCACAACCCCCCCAAATTTTTTTCTTTTTTTTCTTTTTCAAGACTCCGCGGTAGTCCTCAAGTAAGTTGTTCTACTTTTCCTTATGTTGTATTTATTTTGTATTATGTAGTGATTATTGTATAGAATTTTTGCTTTTGGTTGCAATATGGTCTTGGACTCCAAAGTTTGGTGTTGTCATGGTGTTTGGGGTTGATTTGTGTCGATGTGGGAGTGTATTGCTAATTTTTGTGTGGGGTGGGTGGTGGTAGTACTTAAATGGTATTTATTGGTGGATGCTTGTGGGGGGAGGGGGGGGTCTTATATGGAGGAATTGTATTGTTGATAGGTGGTGTGGGGACAATAGTGGATGTTGTCCACTTTGGGTAACTGTTTTGTGCCAGCGGGTGGCGAAGTCTGAGTACCCATCCGACTAGCACATGTTTGACTGTCCCTGATGGTTATGATGAATTGATTGCAGTACTATGGCCCGAAAGAAGCGTAGGAACTCGGAAAGCACTTCCGACGTCCCGACTTATGATGCCACCCGGTTCACATCCGAGGAGGCCCAGGACAGGTTTCATGCGAAAGCCACCAAAAGCTTTGTGCCGGAAATTGGTATTGAGAGGGCTGCCTTCCGTGTCGAAAAGCCAGACATGTACGAGGAAATCCACCGGAGGGGATGGAGTACTTGTTTGATGAACCTGATACGGCAAACCCAATGATAGTCCGGGAGTTCTACGCCGAACTGCCCGGAACATATGTATCGTTCTGTGGTTGTACGGGGCAAAGTGGTAGATGCCTCAGTACATAAAATTCGCCAGGTCCTGCAGCTGCCTCCCTTCACGGGTGACAATGATTATTACCATAGTTCTCCAGTGGTCGATTGGGACACTCTGATTGAGTCAATATGCTCAGGGGGTCGGCCAGTTTGGATACAGGAAAACGTGACCCTGCATTCCAAGTCATTATCATGGGAAGCTAAGTGCTTGTTCACTATGATTTGCAGCAGGTTATTGCCCACGGGCAACATAACAGATGTGAACAGCTTGCGGGCTTTATTGGTTTGGTGCTTCGTGACCAGGAAGGACGTGGATGTTGCTAAAATCATTGGAGATGAAATGATCCTCCGGTCACCACTGATGACTAAGGGGTTTTACTTCCCCTCCCTGGTGACCAGGTTATGTCTGCTGGCTGATGTCCCAGTCAATCCTACGGATGGCACTTTGCCCCCAAAAACAGCTTTCAAAGCTTCCAAGATCAAAGTGGGCAGAGAATTACCTACGCCCATTGACCTAGACGATGATGATGACGACCCAGCACCCATGGCACCACCCAGGAGGTCTTATGATGCAGCTGGATCCTCACGGCAACCCCAAACTGCGGCGGAGTTCTCTAGAACATACTCCAGGCGACCCTTGTTGACTTATGTGGAGGAAGACGTGGCAGAACTTCGCACTTCTATGGATAGCCTGTATGTTCGTTTGGATGCCATGTCTAGACGGCAGGCCAGGTCTGAGAGCCGGGTGATGGCTTGGTTCCGTGCTCTAAGGAGAGCCTATCACGTGGATCCCAACACCGTCTCTGACTCCGAATGATGACCAGGGAAGTCCTCTTACCCTCTGTGCTTTAAATTGTTTTATGACATGAGGACATGCCATACTCTTTATGTGTGGGGTGGGAGACTTGGGTTAGTGTATATATGTGTTGTTAGTGTATATATGTGTTGTTGTGTATGTAGCTTAGATGTAACCGACTTGGCCCAACGACGGACACTTGTCGACGGGTCTCTTGAGGGCTAAAGTCAGATAAAAAAAATAGAAAAGGTAGGAGACTCTTCTTGATGACGGACCACCTAGACAGTATTCTTGAGGGAAGTAGTCTAATCAAAAAGCCAAAAAGATTTTTTCTTTTGACCGCGGTTCTTTTCCAAGGGTTTTTCTTGAACCAGGTTAGGTAGATTTTCCTTTAATAGATTTTAGGACTCTTAGGACTCTTTTGGGCTAAGATGGGTTGGGCAAGAATGCATCCCGTGGTGTACATACCTGTAAATACTTAAAACGAACTTGAGGGTGCGACGCCTAGGCTCATGTGTAGACTCTTAATCTTATGCCTTAATTTTGCACACCCTGTCTTGCTTGAACACTCATGTGAATGTGTTGACAAACTAAGTTGGATTGAGTTATATGCCAAGTGTGTGTGAGGTTATACACGTATTCTATGCTTGCATGCGATACATAGAACTTGCCCCGTGTGTGTGCAAAGCGAAATAGTAGTTGTTTACAAGAAGTTATGCAGGGACATCCTGTATTGCTGAATAGAGCACCCACTCTGCATAGATTAGGCATACAGGCATTCCAGCCCGTTTTAGTGGAGGGGCGCGCTATTTGTTTACATCCATTAGTTTGCAAGGGATTCAATGCTGATTTTGATGGAGATCAAATGGCTGTTCATGTACCTTTATCCTTGGAGGCTCAAGTAGAGGCCCGTTTACTTATGTTTTCTCATATGAATCTTTTGTCTCCGGCTATTGGGGATCCCATTTCCGTACCAACGCAAGATATGCTTATTGGACTCTATGTATTAACGAGCGGAAATCATCGAGGTATTTGTGTAAATAGATATAATCCATGTAATCGCAGAAACTATCAAAATAAAAAAAGAAGTGACAATAGTCACTATAAGTATACGAAAGAACCGTTTTTTTCTAATTCCTATGATGCAATTGGGGCTTATCGGCAGAAACGAATCAATTTAGATAGTCCTTTGTGGCTCCGGTGGCGAATAGATCAACGCGTTATTGCTTCAAGAGAAACTCCCATCGAAGTTCACTATGAATCTTTAGGTACTTTTTATGAGATTTATGGACACTATCTAATAGTAAGAAGTCTAAAAAAACAAATCCTTTTTATATACATTCGAACCACTGTTGGTCATATTGCTCTTTATCGAGAAATCGAAGAAGCTATACAGGGGTTTTCTCGGGCCTATTCATATGGTACCTAACGTAATTCTATGATACCCGTGGGACTTCGGGGCTCTCCGGTTCAGCTAGGTCCATAGTTCCGGAATTTATACGCGAATCAAGATCAAACAAAGGAAGTTTTACAATCACCGACTCAAACCCATTGTCGAATTCTACTCAGCGGAATATGGAGGTACTTATGGCAGAACGGGCCAATCTGGTCTTTCACAATAAAGCGATAGACGGAACTGCCATGAAACGACTTATTAGTAGATTAATAGATCACTTCGGAATGGCATATACATCACATATCCTGGATCAAGTAAAAACTCTGGGGTTCCAACAAGCTACTGCTACATCCATTTCATTAGGAATTGATGATCTTTTAACAATACCTTCTAAGGGATGGCTAGTTCAAGATGCTGAACAACAAAGTTTGATTTTGGAAAAACACCATCATTATGGGAATGTACACGCGGTAGAAAAATTACGTCAATCCATTGAAATATGGTATGCTACAAGTGAATATTTGCGACAAGAAATGAATCCTAATTTTAGGATGACTGACCCTTTTAATCCAGTTCATATAATGTCTTTCTCGGGAGCTAGAGGAAATGCATCTCAGGTACATCAATTAGTAGGTATGAGAGGATTAATGTCAGATCCTCAAGGACAAATGATTGATTTACCTATTCAAAGCAATTTACGCGAAGGACTCTCTTTAACAGAATACATCATTTCTTGCTACGGAGCCCGTAAAGGAGTTGTGGATACTGCTGTACGAACATCAGACGCTGGATATCTCACTCGCAGACTTGTTGAAGTAGTTCAACACATTGTTGTACGTCGAACGGATTGTGGCNGTTGTTATGAGTAGCTAAATACTTTAGTCTAAGGTTTTGATGGAACCTATTGAAGGATGAACTTCTTGATTATGTTAATATAGTTTGCCAGTTAATCTCTATTTGTTCAACTACGTGTTTATTGTAGTTAATTGACAAGATCCTCAATTAGTTGTGCCTATTTAGTGTGCATAACTCGGAAGAGAGTGCATATTTAGGTAATTGTTGAACAGCACCACTCTCAAAGTATAAGAGGGATCTATAACTGCGGGTTTAAAGGCGGGATTAGGAATGACGAAGCCTTGGGTATAATCTAAAGTGAGCTGTAATAGAAAAAAGGTAGCTAGCGTAACTCGGGAGAGTGCGTGTAGTAACTTATCGCGATTACTCGGGAGAGATTTACGGTAAAAAGAGTGCTCATGATTGATAGAGATATTTTGGTGAATCTATATGAAACATAACCGGAAGGGATTCCATCAATAGGGGAAATCACTACCTTAGAACCTTCTCATTATTGTTTACAACCCAAGCATATTTAGTTTACAGCTGTTTATTTATTTAATTTCAATCTTAGTTATTAGAGATACCATCATCTATTGTTTACAACGTTTGGGGAAGTTGATTATAAAGAATTTAGTGATTCCAACAAAGGTAATTGATAGGTTAATTCTCTGTGGGATTCGACTCCGGACTTGTAAACCGGATTATATTTGCAACGACCGCATTGTCCTTTTTATAAGGCATAGTTGGGCGTGATCACTTGTGGTCTTAAAAGCTTAAGGGATAAAAGCTTTGTGGGGCCACGACATTTATATGGTTATAAAAGCTTAGTGATGACTTTAAAGTTAAATTATTTTAAATTGTAGAAATATGTCATTCTTTTTGGAACGGACTAATAAGGAAATTGTGTCATCTATATTGAAACACAGGGAGTACTATTACCAGTTTAGTCCTTATCTTTATTTTCTTATTTTTACAATTAAGTCTCATAAAATTCCTTCTAGGAGGGACACATGTTAGTCAATGGTGTAATAGGTTGTTACATTAGAATCCAGTGTTGGATTCCTATTTAGCTGGTAGATGTATATTAATATTATCCAATTTCACCATATCTTCTTCTTCCTCTCTTCTCTCTAATTCCATTTCTTTACGAATGAGCTCGTTTATAACTCAGCTCGTGACATTGGTATCAAAGCCATTTGGGTCTTGCGGATGACGATGGCTAACGCTCAAATATTCAAGGGCCTTAACGAAGGCATGAAAAAACTCAAAACCCAGCCAGAATCCTTGGCTACGGATAATGCGCGGCATTTTGAATCATAGGAATCCAATCGAAATTAGTTTTCTTCTCAGCTAAGGGAAGCACAAGAGACGAACCAGAGGCTGAAATTAATTATTTCTCAACTCGACGCCTTGAAGAGGGCAGAAATCGTTGCTTCTCCTAGATAAATGGCGTCTTCAGCTCAAAGACCAGTGATTGTGCAAGAATCTGGGCAAACTTTGGACACTTAGGCTCAGGTAACCCCGATTTCAACTCCAAGTAGCTACCCTGTAGGCAAGGGTTTCACTTTTCCTCCGTTATGGCCAACCCAAACTCACCTCAAATACCAACTACTATTGTTACATCCTTATCATTTCCAGTTCCAACCCCCACTACAAACATTGTTCCATTGACCACTACGACTGTACCAGCAACTAACCTTCCTTTACATCCATTACCAACCACTGCACTAGCTATAAACAACACAGACCCTCATTTACAACCCTTTAAAGCCACGATAAACTTTCCTGAGTTCAATGGTGTTAACCCCAAGGTATGGATTTGTAAATGTGAGCATTTTTTTTGAAATTTATCAGATCCATTAATAAAGTAAAATGAGTTATGTGGTTGTGCATATGAAAGACAAGGCAGATATATAGTTTGATAACGATATTCTGAAGAAGATGGGACTAGCTGGCTTGCGCAAAAGTTTGTAGGAGGTTTGGGAGTGTGAGACCCATTGATATTGTGAATTTAACAACCTTAAACAAATAGGTAGTGTGGAAATTTATCAGGAGAAGTTCCAGGAGCTAAAATTCATATATATTGTTGGCAAATCTTCTCTTGAATGATATTCATTTTATTTCCAGCTATATCACTGGCCTTAAACCCAAATTAAAACCTCTAGTAGGACTAGCAAATCCAGTTTGCCTTGTGGATGCATTTGACTTAACTAAGTCCTATGAAGCCTTTTTTAAAGACCCTCCTTAGATTCACCAATCCCAGAATAACCTATATCTCAAACAATACCTACTTCCAGAGCTATTATACCATATCAAGGAACCAATTCCTATAACTCAAACAACAGAGCTTTGGTCCCCAAAGCCAGATTTCCCTTCAAACCAAACCAATGTTCTGATGTACCAAAAGACAAAGGACTTTGTTATAGATGTCTTGAGAAATACCACCCTGACCACCAGTGTAAACCTAAAACATTGAATTTTATTTCTTGGGAAGTGGAGTAACCGAAGGGGCAAGTGCAAGCTATTCAGGAGGAAGGGGAAAGTAGTGGAGTTAAAAATAAGGTGGGAACGGAGGAGAGTCCTGAAGAGGAGCAGGGTGAGATATCATTATGTGTAGCTATGGGATGACAATTTCTTCCTCTAAAACCATAAAGATTCAGGGTATGCTAAGAAATTACCTATCACAATCTTGATCGATTGTTGCTCTACTCACAGTTTTATGAATCCACAAACAGTCAAGGTCCTAAGATTGGAGGCAATCCCTAGTTATGCTCCAATGAAAGTGAAGGTAGCTAATGGAGAATATATATATGTACAGTGGGGCCATTTGTCCTAACTTTTGTGGGAAGATACAAGAGGAACCCTTCTGTTTTGATGTAAGGTTGCTAGAAGTAGGTGGATGTGACCTAGTTTTAGGCATGGATTGGTTAGACTTGGTTGCCCCTATGTTGTTATACACTAGACCCCTCGGTATATCATTTTTTAGAGGTGACACTTGGTTACTCTGCTGAGTCATCAAGAAGATCCTAAACTGGTTACAATAGAAGGGGACAAATTGGAGAAAGTGTTTCTAAAGTAATCTGGGGTACTGTGCTTGCTATCTGCATCCTCAATACAGCTCTTATGTCCACAAGTGAAACAAAACTTCCTAAAGAAGTTACTACGTAGTTGCAGCTATATCAGGACATTTATGAAGAGCCTAAAGGATTTCCACCTTCTCGGCCTTGGGATCATTCAATACCCTTGGTACCTGGGGCTCAACCTTTCAATTTGAGGCCCTATAGGTATGTTGATACCCAATTTTTCCCTCATGTTTTATAAATGTCATGTATACTTTCAAAATATTATTTTTTGCATTATTACCTCATTTACATAGTTCATATAAGTATTTTCTATAATGTTCCATAATTTTTAAAAGCTTTAAAATTAATTTTCTTGCATTTAAATTATTTGAATATGTATTAATTTTCCCTTTAAATTATTTTGTGATGACTTAATCGCCCAAATTTATTATTTTCACCCACATATATGTTTCATAATATTTTACCTTATCTTTATATAATTATATTTGGATTTTTAGTTATTTACACAATTTTGCAATAATAGCCTATACGCTACGCATAATTATATTTTTATTACATTATTTGTGCCCAAATAGTATTTTTATATTTTTATAATGTTAATCTATTATTTTCAAACACTTTACTACATAAATAATATTTTATTACTTGTTAATTTCTTTTATAAATTATTTTTGATAAAATTTCGTATATTTAGTTATGGCCCAGTGTTAAGGTGAATTTTCGGACCAAAACAAGCCCAAGGCATCTGGCCCATTCATTTCACCCTTCAGAAGCCCAATCCAAACGGCCCTTTAATAGACCCGGTCGGTACCCGTTTAAAACAACCCGCCCCGTTCATCTTTTAAATCCTGGTCGTTGGTCGTTCAAGATCAACGCCCCTCGCTCACCCAAGCCTTTTATTTAACCTAACCAGGAAACCCTAGCCCCATTCTTCTGAGACGGCTACCCTTGAATCCTCTCTATTCCCTTTTCTCCCCTCAAAACCTAGTAGCTGCCTCCTCTATCCTCCTAACTCCAGTTCTAATATGGAATCTCTCCATGATTTTCCTTCCATATATGCTCGATCTCTCCGTTATTTATACGGTTTTGGTATCACATAATACTTGCCTATATTTGGCAAGTATACGATTTTAAATCAAGTACAATCATCTCCAGACCCTCAAGATCTTGACTGGTTTTCATCTATATGCATCACAGCAAGGTTATATGGGTCCGATTCACCAAGATCTTTGGTCGATTCTTTGATTTCTATCGAACTAGGGTTTGAAATTTCAATTTTTTTCCTTTACTGGTTCTACTATCGATTGCATGTGATATTTTTTTTCCCTTATTTGTGTTTGATTAATTATTTTCCATATCTGCTGGTTCGGTTTCTACCACTATATAACCCATCTCCAATTTCCCCTTTGGACAGACTTTAATCACTGAAAAATTACTACTATTGTCTTATTCGTATTCATCTTATACTACTCTGAGGCTCAATTTCTTGGCCGGGTGAATGCCAAGGCCATCAGAATTCGACTATCGAACCTTTCTGAGTGTGAGCACTGCCCGAGGTTCATTCGAAACTCTTAGGAACTCTGACACACTGAGATTCCTGGGTTCTACTGTTCATTTTGCTATTGACCACTGGAGTATTGCTCCTCGTGTTTACTTGTTCATTAATCTGTAACTGGTGAGTACCTATTACCTTTACAATTTCATTTTCATTTGAGTTCCTGTTCTGCATATCCATGTCTCTGAGATTTTTATGAATTAACATGTTGTTGTATGCCCTGAAGCTCTTCTTGAGGCTCTATGCCTTCTAGTAATCGAATTTGCCTGTTTGTTGCCTTGATTTTGTTTTTTAAGCCTGTTTGCTCTAATGTGTATGTTTGAATGCTTATTATTGTTTCTTATTCTGAATTTTAGCCTCTTACTTTGTTATGTACTCTTGTGATGAGTCGAGT